AAAAGGACCCCAAAATAAGGTACCCCTAATTTTCGGAGACTCCCTTATGGTCTTCAGGGATCTGCTACTGCTCCTTGATCTTGATTCTGGCATCTCTGCGCTGGGCGTGTTGCGAGGTTCTGTAAGCAGAGTAACCCTCCGGAGCCCGAACCTTTGCAAACCTAATATGGGGCCTTTTGGAATAGGGTCTGGGGGGTGTATTATACTATAAATAATGGTAACAAGGAACCCCCAAAACCTTATTCTAATTGTAAAGGCCCCTGCATTACTATATGTGGCCAAACACGCAAGCATGTAAGATCCTAGCAACCTGAAACCTTAAACTGCCAGGGCATCGAAACCCGAATATAAAACCACATAGGCCTTGCTTGTACTCCGACAGGCAACTGGCTACAACGACAGAACCTATAATCCTAAATTCTAAACCCCTCTTGTTAACCCCTAAACCCGCAAATCTCTATATAAACCCTAAACCCTCATCGCTTCTTTTGTTCACCGAGAACACAACGTCAAGCGACGCCAGAGCCCGGCAGCGACATCCGCTCGGGCTTTTGAGGCTCTTCTTACTGTTGTGCAAGTTTTTGGGCTTCCTTTTAAGGATTCCGAAGAAGCTCTATATAGATTTAATTAAAAGGTTTAGGAGTAAGCGTTTGGAATCTGTGGGGTTTGGGGTTTGGGTTGTTGGGCTCGGGTTTCGGATGCAAATACTTTACCGCTGCAGAGCTTCCAGACGGCTTTGCATGGTCTTCATGCCAAAAGGCCCCAATTGTTCTATGGGTTTCGGGTTTAGGGTGGAAGGGCTGTATGAGGGCTCTAGAAGGATTCCATGTTCAAAGGGCGCCAACGACGGGATGAGGGCAAGAGGGTTCATCCCACAGGGGTCATGTCATAAAGGACCCTCAGTCCGACCTAAAATAGTGGCCTTAATGATTAAAGTAGGGTTTGGAGTATATTACGTACTATAATGATAACAGGTTTTCCGATGTCATGTTCTATTGAAGCCTAAAGATCTACCGCCCGAAGCCGCAATACCCCTCCTTTCTCGGCTGGAAAATCAGCACCCCACGAAGCCAGCATCAAAGATTGGAACAGAGCTCGGCCCGTGATGCTTGGCCTGACAGAGTCTCAGGGGTAGTCAGCCCCCAAAAGCGACCACATAAGCAGAAGTATCTCAACTTCTCGGTAAGTGCACAAGGGGATTGATAAAGTTTCTGAAAGACCTTCCCTTACTTGCTGAGCCGTTTGGGCCCCATAAAGGCAAGCTTCTAAGCATGGTGAGATTACGCAAACCCAAAAACATCGAAAAGGGCTGAAAGCCATTGCTATTCTCCTCAGCCACCAGATGCTGTTTATGTGGTCCCGAAACTCCCAGCGAGTTCCCTAACGGTCAAAAGACCTGGGAACCAGCTTCCCAGACTCAGCGAAACGCTACTTGGCAGTTGACAGGTTCTGGACAGCATAAAGCTCATAGAAAATCATGGAAGGCTCTGGTTAGGGTTTAGGGTTAAGGATTTGGGCCTCTTGAAACCACCAACAGCCCTGGGTATTCTGGACATTTGCATTCGGCGCAGTAAGGGTGAGCGGGGGGGTGCTAATGCTATGGTTTGCATAAAGACTCCTACCTTGCACCCCAAACTGAATAACTCTAAACTACTGCGGCCCTAAACTCTGAATCCCTAGACCGCCCAACCCGAAACCCTCGACGCCAAGGCCTGAAACTCTCACCCCCAGAAACCGCTGAACCCTAAACGCGCAAAACCTATTCCACGATCACCGTGGAGGCCGATTTCTCTGCCGAGCTTGAGCTTCCAAGCTTCTGCACTGTAGCATCACCCCCCCCCCTTAAGGGGGGGCTGGGTGGGGGGGGTCGGGAAATAGGTGGGGCGCTTATTTGGTTATATTGTGTTAGTGGGGGGTGTCGGACCACCCTCACAAGAGATCGTGGGGCGTTACAGTTGGGATGGGATTTCGAAGATTAGTGTGGGCGACGGTTGTAAGGAGTAAAGCGGATTTGTACAGTAGAGGATAGTAAAAACGCAGGTTTGAGCAGCATAGCTGTGCAGCACCAGTGCCAAAAGCCCCCGAAGCACGGAAACTGGTCGAGAGCACGCTGCGATTCCTTTTTTCTGTCACCCCCGGCTCAACGGCTGCATCAAGCTGAATCACTTATCAAAGACGGCTCTGTGCTCCTCCCAGACACAGTCACTATGGGCCCACGTGAACGGAATATTTTGCACAATCATAGAATGTTTTTGTTTTTGGTTGAGTTGTGGAGCACTGGACAGCCATCCGACCTACCCTTTCAGCAAGACTGCCGGGCTCACCCATTGAGCTGGACTGCCGGGTGCAATCGCCACACGAGGCTCAGGAAATCCAGGATTGGGCGCTCGGGCTTCGCACGGCCTTAGATTTCAGCGGCCGAGCACGAATGGAAACACAAAAAAACGATCTGGATTCATCGAGCGGCGCTTGTCGGGCAAAAGGCCCTTGAGATGGTTGAACACCGTGGTGGAGAATCGCTGCCCCTTCGCCTCGAGTTTGTTGAAGTAGCTGGGCACCTGGTTGATGACCAATGTCCATTGCTGCGATGGGCCTGGCTTGACAATCACACCGTCGGCACTCACGAACTGTATGTTCATAGACTCGTACTCTCGCTTGAGGCGCTGGAAGAAATCGGGCACAGCAGACGACATATTGCTGCGGCTGAAGGAGAACTCATTGTAGGAGACGGTTGCACTGCTTTGCACTGCAGGGGCGGCCCTATGCCTGTCGGGCTCATCCCTGATGAAACCGAGCTATGCGGCAGGAGTCTTCTGCAAAACCTTCAGAGCCTTGGAGGAGGCTGGTGTCAGCTTGATGTGAAGCCTTAGGGATGACGGCTGCAAAGGTTCAGAAGCCAGTTCGCCGAGCACGGTGTTGAGGGGCGAGACGTGCACCACGGGTGAGGCACAAAGCAAATGTACTCGTCGTGATCAGGCAAGTACTCCAGGATCAGCAGGTGAAGCAGTTTTGTACAGGTCGCGGGCAATGCGATGGGACTAGGCTTGCTGGTCCTGACTCTTTCTGTCCGTCCTGCTCGTCGCCTGTTCCGGTTTCGCCATCCTGAGTCCTGAGCAAAGCAACCCGAAGCGGACCGACCGTGGGCTCCAAACTCGAACCTCGCGGAACTCGCCGTCATCTGCAGGAGCCTGGCCGAAGAGAAAAATTAGCAGCCAACCACCCCCGCCCCAAATCCCCCGCCTCGGATCGGGATACTGGTGCTTTTGTAGTCGCTGCAGCCTTGGAGCAGGAATGCAGTATCGAGTGTGATGTTTCATAACCCTCGGGAACCCGGCTGTCAGCCATTCCTTCTCGGTTGGCGGAACCTGCCAATCATTGCAACTCAGCTTCCTGTCTGAAACCGGCCCAACAGAACGATGCCTCGTGCCCATTCACCCGAGCAAAAGCCGCAGCTTGCTTGTGGCTTCGGAAGCTTTCAGAACCAAGCTCTCACCGATCTCGGCTGATGTTCTTCGGGATTCGTGGGGAAGAGGGCTTTGTCAGACACCGGTACAGCATCGAACAAAACGGCCAAGCCACGATTCGGCTTGCCCGCATCAGCCCCGGTCCAGCGACACCCTGTCTGCCGGAGGACCCATCGCTCCGACATGACAAACCAAAACGAAGGTTATGCCATGTTATGACTATGCCCAGTGACCCCAATGAGCTCTGATATGCTCTGATGCTGGTTTCCCCTGTGTGCCCTGCAATCGTGCATCTTTGAGCAAGGGAAATCACACATGCGCAGCTCAATCTCGTGCACTCGAAAGTACCCCACCTGCACAAGTAGAAATGGCTGGCCCGCCACCTATTTCTCCTCACCCCCCCACAGTGACACAATAGGTGGCCCGGTAACCTGTAAATAGGTGGGGATGAAGGTAACCCCCCCTGGTTGCCACAATATTAAGGGAGGGGATACTGTAGCTCTTTAGTCTACTTTAGAAGGCATATTACCGACTTCTACATGATGGCCCCTGACATTTAGTCTTGCATGCGCCGGTTGAGGGCTTCTTCGGTGTAGGGTTCGGGGTCTAGGGGTCCGGGTTCATGATATGTGTTGAAAGGTTTGGCAGGTTGGCCTGAGAGGGGTGTAAGAAGCGTCGCAGCATCGGTGGAGCAAGAGGTAAGGTTTCGGAGGCTTTAGCCGTCATGGCTAAGTAGGGTTCAGGTGTGGTTTAGTTTATGGCCTTGGAGCTCAGGGTGCGGTGATTATCAAGGTGAAAAAAGTGCCGCCCGAAAAGAATCAGGAAAACTCCAGTTTCCAGAGCCTGCGCAAAACTGCTCACGCCAATGCCTCATTATGGGCCTATCTCTCCGCGCAGGCGCCATCCCCACTTAAAGCTTCATGGGACTTAGTAACTGGGGTTTAGAGTTCCTTGTTTAAGGGGTACTATGGGCTTTCATTTAAGGGTATAGGGTCTACTTAAAGGTTCATGGGGTTTGGTAGCGAAGGTAGTAAGTAAGGTACCTGTACTTGTAACCTCTCATAACCCAGGTACCTATAAGTGTACTCACGAAGTCCCATGAATCTCCAGGCATGTATGGGAGGGAAGCTGCCGTCGGGAAATCAGAAAATCTTTGAGAGCGTGAGGTTTAGGGCCTGAACCCTACAGCCTAAACCCTAAAGCCCTGAAGCCCAACACCTACAGCTCAGGCCTACCCCACCAGAACGGGGGGGGTCTTGTTCAACTACACGTTTAGGACTTGGGATGCAAGGTGCAAGATTTCAACTTACAAACCCTATCCTATGATATACTATACTATGATGTACTGTCCTATGCTATACTGTACTATGTTGTACTATGCTACAATTGCATAATCTACTATAGCATATGTAAAAGAACCGTAAAACATCGCAAGAGCATCCAATCCTGAACCCCGAAACCCCAGAGCCCTACGGGTAAGGACTATTAAGAACTAAACATCCTCCACGCTAAAGTCCTAAATCATAAAAACGAGCACTAAATCTCACGGCTCATCAGGGTGTTCAGCGTCACATAGCCCTGGAGAATTCCTCTCTCTGTGACGTAGACCACGCCGTCACTCTCGGCCACCTCCAAGACCGGTGCCAAGGTTTGAGGCTTAAGATTTGAGGCTCAGTGTTTGAGGCTAAGGCTTTTTGCATATGTTCTCCTGCGGAAAAGAGACGTGAAACACGGGGACTAAACCCTAAAACCCTACGTCTCTAAAACCCTCTTGTAACCTTCTAAACCTGAACGGCCTTAGGCCCTAACCCCAAGTCTCTAAATTGCTAAGCCGTTTTGTTGCTTGAACCTGGTGACTGCCAGAAAACAGGCACAGTACTTCCAACTCCTGATTAAACCCTCAGCCCTAAACCAAAAAAACGAAACCCAAAAATGTCAGATCTCGAAGCCCTCAACCATAAACCCGACACCGGGCGCAATGTTGATGCGCCCCCTCAAACCCTAAACCTTAAACCCTAAACCCCAAACCCCAAACCCTAAACCCTAAACACTAAACCCCAAGCCCTAAACCCTAAGCCCTAAACCCTGCCCCGACGCTCACTCACTAAAACCACCTCGCTCACTCACTGACTGTGGGCCTGGGACGAGCCCCTCCCGGACCCCCAGAGACTCCGATCTTCCTTAATTAAGGAATATTCCTTAAATCATATTAAGGATCCTAAGGATCCTACTACAATTTAGAGTATGTTCCGTAAATCATATTAAGGATCATACTATAATTCAAGGTACACTCCTTAATTAAGGGCTGTTGGAGTCTCTGGGTCGGGTGGTGTTTCTTTTTTTATTCCCCCGCCCCCACGCTCGCTGTGGGCTGGACCGCCATTCTGTTCGGGCCGGATGGTGTTGTTTTTCTGTTCGCCCCCCGCCCCGACGCTCACTCACTCGCTGCGGGCTTGGGCCGTGATGCTTCCCGGGCCGAGTGGTGATTTTCTGTGCGCAGGCCCCGCCAAGCCCGGCGAGCCAATAACAAAAAACGTCTGGTCTACTACATCGGGCCTAAACGGACCCGGTGGGCCGGGGCGACAGCAAGAAAAATGAACATTCCGCCGAAGGCCTGAATGTCACGACGCTCTTGGAGGTACTTCGGGGTTATGGAATTTTCACTTACACAGCTCCTTAAAGGCCGCCTTCTAGGGATCGATAATGTAGAGGCCTTAATAATTAGAATAGGCTTCCTTTAGAATGATCTATAAAAAAAATCCTTTAAAGGGTTTCTTAAAAAGGCATCCATAAGGGATACTATAAGGGTGCTATACTGTGGAGGCCTGAATATTCTAAGGGTTTCTATACGGGTGCTGCATGGGTTGTACAAGGCCTTAGGGTTCAGGGGACTTCGTAAATCAGGTGACAAGTACTTTCATTGGGTGGCTTTATAACCCTAGCGACTCCTAGTGCCTAAATCCCATGATCCTTTGAGTAGGCCTTAAACCTTTAAACCCTGACAGGCAACCCTATTACAGAACTCTACAGTATCCTGAAAGGGAACCCTAAACCCTAGTCGTGTTGGATTTAAATTGGCCTACTTGTCGGGTATCATGGGGAACTAAAGGTTAACCTTGTTGGTTATATAGGGATGATATAGGGACTATACTCCTACTCTACTACTAGGTCACTAGGTTAGCGTCTAAGGTTCAGAGTGTGGGGTTTTGGGGTTCCAAGGCTCGTGGTTGGTTTTGCTTTCACTCAGAGAGTCGAACACCCCTTAAAGGAGGTATATACTCTCTTCTTCAGTAACCGGGCCCAAAAATTTCTAGCTCAAGATAGACCATATAACTATGGTCTAATATCTATGTATATATATATATATGTATATGTATATACATTTGTATATATACATATATGTATATGTATGTGGGTGTGTATATATATATATATGTATATGTATATGAGACCAAAAAGTTTAAAGTTTCGGCAATGGTTTTTCTGGAAAACGCCAAGGACAGTTGCAGAAACCCGGCCTTCATAAGGAGGTACGCATCCTTGACAGTGCAGTCGGGCGACACCTCTCGCTGCAGGGGTAAGATACGTGGTTCAGGGTTTTGGGGCTTGGGTTTAGGGTTTAGGGTTGGTTGAACAATGGAACAATTGCTAACTACTTGTTTCCGCAGGGTTCCTTATTCTGTTTATAGAACATTTAAGTTTATCGAGTTCCTGTCAGCATTCCAAAGGGATACCAGAACCCTAAACCCTAAACCCTAAACCCTAAACCCTAAACCCTAAACCTAAACCCTAAACCCTAAACCCTAAACCCTAAACCCTAAACTCAGGAAGGATTTGGGGTTTCTGGTTTCAGGCTCAGGGGGTTGGGGTCTGCGAGGGTTTAGGGTTTAGGTTGCGGCCGGTGGTAGACCGATTCCAGCTACTGGTTCAGGAACTACTCGAAGGTTCACGAAAGCCGGTTTTCGATACCTCACTTGGGGTTTCAAGTGGAGCTGAATATACTTCCCTCATCAAAAACCGTACTCAGTGCCCTTCTCATTATATAAGCCCCACAACCCTCCAAGCACAGGCACACTCATATAAAATGCACAAAACCCTACAGAACCCTGCAAACGGACTTCGGTTGAGATATGGGTTGGGTGGTGGGCTCTGGGTTTAAGGCTGTGGGTTTTGGGGTTTAGGGTTTTGGCTTGTGGGTTTAGGGCTTCGGGTTTTGGGCTAAGGGCGTTGGCAGACCCTCAGTTCCAAAGATGCCAGGGGTTCTTAAAAATTAGAATAGGGTTTTGGGGTATAGTATAATATACCCCCAAACCCTAGTCTAATTATTATTATAAATCCCAGGCCCATTTAAGGATTTAATGGAACCCTATTCTAATTACTTAGTTGCTGGGTTCACAAGCCCCAAAAAGTGTACACTTTCAGTGAAATAGTGGGAAATATTCTACCAACAAGTGTAAAGTGTGTCCACTCAGCTACTAAGATTATTCAGGCCCCTATATCATCTGCTTGAAGCAAACTTCTTCCAGTGCCAGGACGCTCGAACGGGAGAACCCTCCACCAGCCTCGAGTGGCTGGGCTCTTGAAATGGTGTAGGTTTTAGGGTTTAGGGGTATAGGGTTTAGGGGTTTCGGGTTTAGGGGTTTAGGGGTTTGGGGTTTAGGATTTATGAGCTTTTCGAAGTTGTGTCGCGCTCTGTTCTTCAAGATGAGCTTGCAGTTAGAGTACGGGTTTACGGTTGCAGTATCATGCTGTAGTCTTGCCTAGCACTTGTCTTTGGATGCTTCCGTAGGCCACAGGCTGCGCGGAAATAGAACCGTTGATATTCGGTGTGGCTTTAATACTGGAGGACGGGATTAATTGCCCAGTAGCTTGACATTTATGATCAAAGCAAGCAGCGTGGTGGAGCAGCCTTTAGCGTCAAAGCATACAGCTGCCTTAAGCGCAGTTCTCTAAATTAGGCTCTTTTTCACGTTCCTTAAAGGGATCGAATCGAAAAGGGTTTCTAATCGGTTTCTTTTAGAGTACTATACCGGTAATTGTCTAAATTAGGTTCCCGTTTAGGACCCCAAAATAGTGCGGCTGGTGCCCTTATAAAAGGGACCCGAAAGGGGACCCTGATTTGGAAAACTTCTCTTAAACCCCAACACACCCACGACCTGAAAGCCAACGTGCTCGGAAACCCTTAAAACCGAAACTCTCAACCCCAAACCCCTAAACCCCAAAGCCTAAACTCTAGACCTTAAATCCGGCCCGAAACCCTAAACCCTAAACGGGTAGTTGTCAAAATTAGCGTGCCTTCTTGGGTCCTTATTCTAATACGGCGCCTAATATGTAGGGTGCCGAAAAAGGGACCATAATTTTGACAATCACCCTAAACCCTCAAAACCCCCTCAAGATCGGCCCGGTGACGGCTCGCTGCCGTCAGGTGGTGCCTGGAAGCGTGGATCCAGGAGGTCCACTTCCTGGCGTTTCGGGGTCCTAGGGGCTTACCCAGACCCCCGGAAGGATCTAGAAAGTAGATCCCCTAATTTGGGCCCCCATACTACTTCGGGTGCTTTATAGGAACCACCATTAAGGGATCTACTTTTTGGATCCTCCCGTGGGTCTGGGAAGGGCTTAGTAACTTAAAGGGCTCCTTGAAGGGATCCACGAGGGCTTAAAGGCTTTCTAGAAGGGTGCTATAGGGTACTTGGAGGTTCATGGGACTTAGTCACCTTAAACGGATCTAGAAAGGGGGGATCCATACGGTGTCTTCAAAGGGTTTCTTTCAAGGTACTATAAGGCTTCAACAAGGCTACTTGGAGGTTCATTCGAACACCTACACCCAAACCCCTGAGCCCTGAACCAGAGACCATACAGGCCGCAATGAGACCTCAAATGAGAAAGCCAAACTGAGAAATCACCTTAGGACAAAACTATCAAACAAAACAACGCCCACCTTGTCCGGCAGATCGCCTGTGGGATCCGCCATGCCTCCGTAATTCGCTTTGGGATCTCACCGAGTACTCTGAGGCTGGCGGTTTAAGGCTTAAGGCTGGTATACTACTGTTGATGATATAACTCCTGCATTACCCATGATAAGGAATATACCACAATTCACATAGCTTAGGATCCTTAAGGTAATGCAGGATAGATATCATCAACCGTATCATGCAGCAGCCTGCGCGTGGCGCGCGCGCGCGTCTCTGGATATTGCGTGCACATGCACTCATCTCGCGGATGGCTTGCTCTTTGATTATACGATTCACAGCAACTCTAAACCCTTAACCCTCAAAACCAAAACCCTAAGCCCTGGATCCTTTTCCACAGGCTTGATCAGTGCTCGCCCTAGATCCTAAACCCTAAACCCTAAACCCTAAAAAACCTAAACCCTATGCCCTAAGCCCTAAACCCGAAACCCTAAGCATTAAACCCTAAACCAGTCGTCAGGGCAGCGGCAGCGGCAGAACCAGGCCGGGCTGCGAAAGGGAAGGCGCCAGGTCTTAAAAAACTTAAAATAGGGTTTTGGTGTATATTATGCTGTAAATATAGTAAGGAACCCCCAAAATAATATAGGTGAGTACTATTGCCAAACTCTTGTTGTTATTAAAGCCCCCAAAACAAGGGTTCTGCGAGGCATTCCCATCTCTTGAGATCGTAGGACTTAGTAGCCAGGGTCATAAAGTAACTATACCTATAACTAGCTATAACCCAACAGAAGCCCTGAAAACCCTTGCAGCAAAACTAAAACCCCTAGAAATCCCTCCTTGCCGAGACACGCAGTAGTCGCTCCACGCCGTGTCTGGTCATCGTCCCCTTCCCGGTCGCTGGGCAGAGTATTGGGGCCGAAAGAATTGGAGATAGGGTTTCTTCAACAACGGTTCTATAAGGAATGTTGTAGGAGTTCAGTTGTTTTCTCTGCTTCGGGTTTAGGGTTTAGGCTGTTTCAGGGCTCAGGGTTTCATAACTTCGGTTAGGCTTGGGTTCAGGGTTTGCGTTTCAAGGGAGGGGAAACCCAAACCCCAGCCTTTTCAAACCGAAGACCCGTCTACGGTATCCGCTCTTGGTCTCAAGCCGGCTCTAAGGCCCAAGAATCCTAAAACCTAAACTGATCCTGAACCGATAAAACCCCTACATTTTAAGAGCCCAGAACCTAAAGCCCGATGACCTTGCAATAACTCTCGAGGCTCATCAGAGCTTCTACGGATCGCATAGGAACGAAGGCTGCAGAGCTTCAAGCTTAGGTTTGGTTTTTGGGTTTGGGGTTTAGAGTTTTTTAGGTTTAGGGTTTAGGGTATTTGGGTTTAGGGTCTAGGGTTTGATCGGCTTCTGCAGGAACAGGTGTGTTTTTGAAGGTATATTTAAATGGTTTAGGACGGTTTCATGAGGGTTATGGAGGGTGTCTATCTGGAGGGCTCGTGTAGCTTTAAAAGACTTGCAAACTGTTGAACAGGGAGCCTCCATGGTGCGCGAAACCTTAAGAGATCTATAAGGGATCTATAAGGGATCCAGAAGGTATAGGGTTTAGGATAGGGGCCTTAATAATTACCTACTATACTATTTTGGTGGATTCTTTATTTTAATTCTAGTATAATGGGCCCCAAAACCCTATTCTAATCATTAAGGCCCCTGTACTGAACCCAAAGTCTTGTCGCGACCCTCAGTACAAGGCAAGGTGTATGTCTTAGTTCTTGCAAATTGGGGGGGGGGCTCCCGGGCTACCGAGAGAAGAGGCTACTTGAGCACTCAGCTCAGTGTCACCACACTAAGAAGAACAGCTCCGAACCGATCCCTTGTTGGGTGAGTGGGAACGAATACCGAATGATGGGGTTTAGGGTTCAGGATACGTAAAGCAAACCTAATACAAGTAAAGGCTAGCATGCTGGAACCTCAACTATTCGACGAATTGCCTAAGATTGGAATGCCTGGGCACAAGCAGCACTCTGTGAGTGAGCATCGTCGCCATCAACACTGTATCATCATCGTCGCTCTTCCACCACTGCGTCCAAAACCTGTCACCTAAACTCCGTCCACCCTGTAAAGACGAGCTATAAGCGACCGTCGGCATACCAGAAAGAAACAGCAATAGTGAACACAGGCAAATCGACACACAACAGGTCGGAACACATATAGATAGATAGGAAGGTAGATAGGTCATTAGGTAGGTAGATAAATAGACAAATACATGGATGAATGGATGGCTGGCTGGGTGCGTGGACGGACGGCTGGATGTCTGCCTGGCTGGCTGGATGGATGGTGGATGGATGGACGGACGGAGGGAGGGAGACATGGATGGCTGGCTGGGCGGTAGAGGTGGATGGACAGACAGACCCTAAACCCTAAACCCTGAACCCTAAACCCTAAATCCTAAACCCTAAACCCTAAACCCGAAACCCTAAACAGACACACAGACCGACAGACAAATCAATCCACAGAGCCTGCAGCTGCAAACCCTACACCCCAAAATGCCTAAACAAACTACGGCTGATGGACAAAATCCTGCATGACCCATAATAAGGAATATACCATAGTTTCCATAGTTTAGGGTCCTTAAGGTCATGCAGGATTTTGTCCATCAACACTATGTCTGAAAACCCTGGAAGACCCTAAACCCCTAAGCGCCCAAAGCCCAAACCCCCTAAACCCCCTAAGCCCCAGGCCTAAAGCCTAAAGATCCCTTTAAAAGAACCCTGATAGATCCCTTTAAAGGAACCCTTATAGATCCCTTGTAGATCCCTTTGAAGGAACCCTTGTAGATCCCTTTACAGGAACCCTTATGGATCGCTTATGGACCCCTTTAAAGGAACCATGTAGATCCCTTTACAGGAACCCGTATAGATCGCTTATGGACCCCTTTAAAGGAACCATGTAGATCCCTTTACCTTATCTACTACTTGCTTAAGAACCACCCAAAAAATAAAAAATATATTCCTTATGGGGGTAATATAGGGATTATTATTTTTATTTTTTGGGGGCTTCTTAAGCAAATAGTAGTTATAGATCCCGCTAGAGCCCAAAGCGAAGCCTCCAAGAGTCCCTGGTCCGAAATGTTCCAATCCAAAGGCCGGACGACGGGGAAGAAGTCATTCCTAGGAGTTCAGGGTTTAGGGTTTTGGGTTGAGGGTTCAGGGTTTAGGGTTTTGGGTTGAGGGTTTAGGGTTTAGGGTTTTGGGTTGAGAGTTCAGGGTTTTGGGTTGAGGGTCTTGGGTTGAGGGTTTAGGATTTAGGGTTTAGAGGGCTTTCCAGGCCTTAGTAGGGTTTACCAGGCTTCTTGCGCTTGTTCTTTTTTTAAAGGGACCTAGAGCGATTTATGTTTATAAGGTTCTTTCAGGTTCATTCATAGGCTTCATGCTCAACGGGGTTCTACAGGGATTCATGAAGGTTTACAGGGTTTTTAGAGGCTTCTGAAGGGCTTATGTTTCTGGTTGCAGAGGCTGCTTTGTGCAAAAGTTTAAGCTTCGAGATTATGGTTTGGAGTGAGGTTATTTTTCCATTGGTTGGTTTTTTGTTTCACGCAGAGTTTCATGGGGTCTTATATAATTGGTTGAATGGGGTGCTAGCACCATGTTCTATTTCAGGGTTAAGGCTAACTAGATGTCTATAGGTTTGTATATGGCTTTACGGCGGGGTTTTGTTGGGCTTCATCGGGTTCTGGCGGCGGATTCTTCAACGGTTTAAGGCACAGCGTTGAAGGCTTAGGGTTAAGTACAGGGGCTGCAGAGCTTTGAAAATGAATGTTATAGGTCCGTAAACTTCACAACACTGTCCCGGAACAACCGACAAACTACGGTGGCTCTCTAGAGTTGGAAACGCATACGATTTGGCATAAACACTAAACCCTAAACCCTAAACCCTAAACCCTAAACCCCTAAACCCCAGAAAACAAGGGACCCTTGGCAGATTATAGCAGAACTCCCAAATAGCAGGATCCTCAATCATGTACAGCATCCCCCAAGGGTTTAGGGTTTAGGGTTTAGGGTTTAGGGTTTAGGGATCCCCCAACACCAAACACTAGCTTAAGAACCACCCATACCCCCCCTTTCAATTTATTGTACTTTAATTTGACTTCCCCTTCAAAGCCGCACCCTAAACCCTCAACCCTAAACCCCGTACATGTCTGCAAACAGTCCCGAGGTGCTTCGTCGACATGAGCACCTGGCTGGTGAAGCTGGGATCTTCAGGGTTTCAGGGCTCGGGGTTTACGCTGTAGGGTAATTACGAGTTATATGTTGTAAGGAGTCTATTTTAGGTTTGGGGGTTCAAGGCTCGGGGTTTACGATGTATTGGGTCATGTCGTGCCCCGAGGCCTGCAGCATGTGCCTCAAACTGATGACCTGCGGCAGGCATTCGCCCATCTCCACCACATTCATCACCTTCATGACGGGCTCCAAGGCCTTTGGCAGAACTCAGGGGTGGGTCAAAACCTCGTGCGGGGCTTCGGACTGGGATTCTTCCCACCTCTGAGAAGCCTGACTTGCCAGATGTTCCGACATCCCTGATTGAGGAATATGGGCAGGATTCTTGTAGGATCACGGTTAGGGTTTAGGGTTTAGGGGATCCCTAACATGATTTTCGGATATCCCTTATAGTTAAAGGAGTTTGGGAAATCTGGGTAGCAATGGATACGGGGATTTCAGAGGCCAAGGCTTCGTGACGATGATGGCTTTACTGCAGTGGCCTTGGTGACCAGGTTTAGGTCTAGGCTGTGACGTCTGAGAACGGGCGCATGGTGTAGGGACTGGGAGGGTATCATCTGTCTGTAAAACTGCTTCCAGTGATCCTGAAGCGCCACCACTGCAACCTTAAGCCACATTAGTACCCCCAAATACCGCCCCCCCCCCTAACTAAACCCTATCAAACGCTAAACCCTACACCGTCGCCTTGTCTGTGAAGGTGATTGCCGGGATGCCCCCGAGATTTCTCGTTGCCAAGTTGGCATCGAAGAAAGGCAGGGAGACCTGCTGCAGGGTTTAGGATGTAGGGGTTTAGGGTGTAGGGGGTTTAGGGTTTTTAGGGTGTTCGCTCCCTTACTCATGCACTCAATCGCCCAGCTTGCTGTGTATTTCATGCCTGTAGCGCTTGGGTAGGGTTGGGTGCTCAGTTGGCACAGAGTTCATGAGCCCATGTCGGCTCAGCCACATTGTTCTCAGCACCCACAACATCACCTCTCTCTCTCTCTCTCTCTCTCTCTCTCTCTCTCTCTCTCTCTCTCTCCCAGGCACTCGAAACGTCAAGCCCGGCTGATCACCTCAACCGTAACACTTTACATTCCGTCGAACTCGTCGCCTGGACTCATCTCAGCCCTGAAACACACGGCAACCCCCAGTCCCAATGTCCAAGCTCCAACTCCTGTGCTCAAGCAGATCTTACAAAGTTCTGACATATTTTCTTTAAACCTTCCAAGACCAACACTACCAGAATGCTCAAAGACTGCGTCGAATGGATGAATTTTCACACATTGCCGCACCCACATCAGCCCAACTAACACTCTCGGTCACGACGGAGCTGTTGCGAAGAATGGCAGCAAAAGTGCCGGTGGTGCCATGAATCTGCTGCACAACCTTTAGATGGCTCTGCATGCATTGCTGTCACCACCGAGGCCAGCATTACCTATCATTATTACCTCGGCTGTCGACTATGCCTTCCTGTTCTGGTGCTTCGCTGCCCTACTTGGAGGTTCATGGGACTTAGTAAGTTATAAGTACCCTAATTGGGGTCCTAAGCACATATAAGTGTAGTTACCTTAATTATAAGCCTAGTTAAACAGTTACTATGTCCCATGAACCTCTAAGTACTCTCACCACCATAGCCAGCATTGCGAAATGTCGCGACAAAGCTCTCGGAGGCTGCTCCTGCTGCTGTTAGAATTGGTGGCTGTCAAAATTACGGTCCCTTTTTGGGTACCCTAAATATTAGGTGCCGTACTATAATAAGGACCCAAAAGGGTACCCTAATATTGACAACCGCCCAATTACTTCTATGAATACGACCTAAAACTGGCCGAACCTTTCACCCCAAAGCCTAAAGCCTACTTAAACCCGAAACCAGCCCGACAAAGGCCTTGTTGGCGACGAAAATGGCCGCCAGTGCGGAGCTGCAAAGCCTCGGTTTCGAGTGTGGGGTCGGTTTAGGAACTGGGGCTTGCATGAGTGTTACTTCAAGACTGTTGGCATAAAACTTCGGAGATTTCAGGGTCTTTCATGTTCACAGTCGGGGATGGCTTTTGGCTGCCAGGAGCAGCTCAAGCCCCCCTAGCCGGGCGTGCAGCCTTGAAAAGAGGTTGGTCCCTGTTTGCACTTACTAGCAGTAGTAGATGAATACCAGATACTGCAGAACCTCAAAACTCGAGTAAGGCCACTGCAAAATCGGTAAAGGCGTCCTAGAACAAAAAAAGGCCCCCATATTCGGAGCCTAGAGAATGGCAGGCAAAGCTCTGCCTGTAGGAGCAGACAGGCACCTCGAACCCCAAGCCTTATACGTTGCACATACTCCCGAATGCAGAGTCTTGCACCTTACTTTAGATGTCGTAATAATTAGAATAGGCATAGGCTTGTTTTCTATACTGTAATTATAAACAGGAACCCCCAAAATATAATACTGAGAATTGCTCTCTCTCTCTCTCTCTCTCGCGCGCTCTCGAAGTTTGGGCACAAGCCATGCACCGCTACAACCATCTGCTAAGTAGCATTCACCGCATCACTCCGGATGCCTGAACTTTGGAATTTGGAGACTCTTCAGTCTTGGATATGGGAGATTCCGAAAACAGGGGATCCTAAATATAGTACCCTAAATAGTAGGATCCTTATTATAAGGATCCCAAATCCCAAAGTAAGGTACCCCTAATCTTCGGAAACACCCATATTACTCAACCTCAGGTTTCAACCTTTGACTTGTACCTCTAATGAGCATGCTCATGAGGCGCGATGGGCTTAAGCCCTACTAAACCCGAAGCCCATACCGTTACGTACAGACTAATTAAGCCATGATTGTTCAGCGTCGAGGAGAATGCAGGCAGAAGGCGGTAGAACAGAGTTCGGCAGCGCCAGAACCTTCAACTCATTGGGAACGGGCAAGAGCTTCGATCGGGTTGTGTCAGGTCTTCCTTGTGGTTTTCGTAAGGCTTTGTTGAAGCTAGGACCCACAGAACCTGATGCCGCTGAATGACGGAGTATACTCAGAGAGAAACCCTCTCAAACCTTAAAACCTAGGGTTTTGGGGCCCACCTTACTATAATCATAATAAGGAACCTCCAAAATAGTATGGGTAATTATTAAGGCCCCTATCCTAAACCCTAAACCCTATAGATCCATTGTAAACCCCTCAAAGGAACCCTTATATAAGGATCCTTTTAAAGGCCCCTTTAGTACCCAAAGCGAAACCCTGTCAATCCCTCCAAGCCCCGTAAGCCTCGAAGACGGTGATTGCCATGGCGAAGGCCCGGCAGACCGCAGCACAAAAAGCCGAAGCTCCTCCACAGTCTAGGGTTTTTTCTTGTAACGCTCCTTTTTCTGCCATGGTATGACGAAAGTCCAGGGCTTAGGGCTTGGGGTTTAGTGTTTCGTGGAGCCCACCTAGGGCTTGTGGAGCCCACATAGGGCTTGTAGGGTTTTAGGGTTAGGGCTTGAGGGTTTAGGGTTTAGGGCTTTCACGGTTTAGGGTTTATATATGGTTTAGGGTTTCGTGGAGCCCACATAGGGCTTGTAGGGTGTTTGGGTTTAGGGCTTTAGGGTTTGGGGCTTTCAGGCTTTAGTGTTTTGGGATTTAGGGTTGTGGGAGAGGCTTAACAGTGCAGGGTATATATGGGTTTCAAAAGGGCTTTACCGAACAATGTGTTTCATCAATACCGTAGAGACATGTCTGAGGTTTCATAAGGGATTTAAGGAATTCTACAAGGGTCTCAGGAGTGCGTCAGAGAAAACTCTGTTTTGGACATCACAAGCACTTTTCTAGAGCGTCATCAGGGCTTCACGGCGGCTTGACTCGACGAATTGAAACTTTCCGCAAAAAGACACCTAGAAGCCCCCTGGCTTTCGAAAACCCGGCCGCTCCAGTTTAGGGTTTAGTTTAGGGTGTAGGGTCTAGGGTTTAGGATGTAGAGTTTGGTTTAGGGTTTGGGGTGTAAGGGTTTGGGCCATCGAAGGGATCCCAGCACCCGGTCAAACCCCCAATAGGGCGATAGAACTGGGCTTTCTTCAGATGCGGGTGGAAACGTAGGAAAAACACTATAGGTTTGACCCCTAGGCCTTAAGACCTAAACCAAAATCCGGGTCCGACGATGCCACATCGGGCCATGAAAGCCTTGGCACGTTCGAGTGGGGGCTTGTCGTTTGTTTTCGGCTGAAGGGGGGGGGCTATGGCTTTCCCTAACCCCAAGTAATCTACTTTTTTAAGGACTTATATAAAGAAACCATATTAGGGAACTCTGAAAAGGTAGTTTTTTTAGGGTCCAGGTTAACATTTTTGACGGTGTCAGCAGACTTCAGGGCTTGGCATAAAGGATCCTTCCAAAACCCTTTAATTCAGGAATATGCTTTGAATGATATTAGGGATCCTACGAGAGTTCAAGGTATCCTCCTGACTTAAGGGATATCTCCTGACTTAAGGGATATTGGAAGCTCTGGGCAGGCTGCGGGGCTTCCGGGATTTATTTAGGATTTAGGGCTAACGGTTTAGGGTTTAGGGTTTCTCTCTCTTTCTCTAGAGGGCTTAGGATTTAAGGCTACGGGCCACGAATGTGAGGCGTTGCGGCTCGAGGCGAGTGAAGGTGGTCTCAACTCTCGTTGTTCCAACTTCTTCGCTGCTTCCCGACCCCAGGCTCTGCTTTGCCATAGCCGCCGTCCAAGGCTCAGGAGCCTGGACCGCAGCTTTACAGGCTACTTGACGCTCCGCCAGTTGCTCCGGCCCGGCACGAGTTTCGCGACACTCTCTGAACTTGTTCTGCACCACTCGTTGCTACAAGACGGTCAGTTTTGTCGATGAGCGCCCTACAATGGGCTTCTATATTAACCCTATCACGGTGGTTCCTGCTTTGAGTGAGGATCCACGTCCAATCCAACGAGCGTTGCCTGTTCTTGTTCGTGCCTCTTCGGCCCTCTTTAGCCCTTCGGCCCCTAATAACAACAATTTGCTTAACAAGCACGATAAGGACATTAGCATTAGAATCCTGGAAAATTAGCCGTACTTTTCCTTGGGGTTCCAGACTCTAACTATAGTAGGATGTGCACCCACCAATACTCAAATTATTGAAGCTCCCGGATTAATGAAAGAAAAAACCCAAGTGCATCTCAGATCCCGGCGACTCCAATATCCCTTTATGCCTTAAACTACAGTAGGATGATCCCCAATGTGATTTAAGGTGCATTCCTTAAATAAGGGGTTC